AGTGTACCTACCGTTTCCTGTATATTGTTTTGTTATTTACACTTTGTTTTTCTGTCTATAATTATTTCGTAAAATATATCCATATTTAACGTACATTCTAAAAAAGTTGTAAACACCTAAAAAATTATATTTTGTTTAGCAACATTTCCTTAGCATGCATAATAAAGTTTGTTATTTCTAATAACTACTCTATCTCGATTAAAACGAGTTTTTCATGGTCATTTTATTATAGTAAAGTACGGATCTGGTTAGAGCAACATCCATTCAAATAAGTGACATTCACCCTTTCATTATAATTACGAAATATCAGGTATCATCTAATTAGAAGAAAGCCGGCCAGAGCAGATAAGAGAGGCACCTTCTCTCTAAGAACATCGTAGCCTGCCGTGGTTTGGTGATACTATTTGCGCCGTGTTGTACCTATTTCTACATTAAAGTGGCACTATATTATATACTCCAAGGGATGGAAATTGTTATGATTGCTTCATCTTCATAGGTATTGAAAATAGTAGGGAATTAAATATAGTTTTGTACAATTTATTTTTACAAAATAGTTTAAACACAAAAAACCTTATTTATTCGCCGACCCTACCGTGATTTGTGATCTTTTCCAAGCAACCACTATGTTGAAAGTGATATTAATAACCACCTAGTCAAAAATTCAGCATAGCCTGAAACTATATATAATAATTGAATATCATATTAATGAACAAGCAAGTGCTCAGTATCCGTCTTAATTTAAATTTTTGGCTAACGTTTATGAACACAATGCTCGCATTTGAGCAGTTCTTATCGTCGTTATACACTACACGTCGATATTGTTATAAAGGTCATCTTGTTAGGTAATTGACGACCCACTGCTTGGAAACGTGAATCGTTAAAAAAACTGCAAATGTTTTTTATATTGTGCTTCAATCACGTTGAAAGCAAATCTATGCAACGTGACACATTATTGAAGGCTTCGCGATGGATCTAAAGTCAATAAACTTTTAATCTTAGCAGTTACCAACTAAATTAGACACCATCTATTATATTAATTAAAAACTAGTATTGAATAAAATAGATATACCTATAGATCATTATACATTAGCTCTATAGTCACCGTGTTAGGCTAGTCTCAAGATATAGTGTTGTACTGAATATATTCATTATATTTATTATATATTGATTACCTTCTTTTTAGGCATATAAGTATAAGGTGGCATATAACATCAATGTGATAACCATATTATTAAGACATTAAGATAACAAGTGAAATAAATAGATAGGAGGTCCGCGAATTAAGTAACAAAATTTTCAATTTTAATTATTATTCATTGATTATATTTTCATACTCACAAACCGTTATTTTTTAATTTTAAATCAATTTTGTAATAAAAACAAGTAATTCTCTAATGTACGTTATTTGCTTTACAAATTAATCCTTATTTATTAGAATTTTATGTTTAATGATGAATGAATGAATGATGATAATGATTTATTTTTGTGTTATTTTGCTTTTACCTTTACTCAGTCTTCTATAAATCTATCTATAAAATAACTTTAAAACTAATCATAATTTCCCTTCAACTTTACCGAGCTCAGGCCTCGGAGAATATGATGACTCACAATGTAAGCTTAATTAAACAGATCCCCTCAGTTATTTATGCATTGTACTCGTCCACAACCGTACTCATATTACCTATCACTGTCTTTCTTGCTTAAAACTAGAAGAATTCATTAAAGCATATGCTTAAAGTATTTAGTGTCTGTTTTCTTCAATACACAGTCTTGCAGGTTTTAAATAATTAGTTTTGGTCTATCTGGTACCTACCTACCTACCTTGGTATATATATTATTTAAAGCTCGTGTTAAGTGGTTAACATGGGATCTTATCGTTTCATTAAGTATAGCAAGGACGCGTTTAATAAAACTTTGCTTACTTATAAAGTTGTTAAAAATATATAAACAAGACGTTTTGCTATTGTTGATAACACTTTGTAAAACAAAAATCAATTTTCAATAAAAAATGAATATCATAATTATGTATGAATCTACAATACAACATGTATATGTTTTGTTGCTACGACTATCAGTAAACCTATATTATTAGTATCCTACGAGTATATAGAATCCGACGATCAGTTGAAAATAACCTAGAGGCGCGATTTCAATCATTATTACTCGTACTACAACGCCATGAAATGATACCTGTACCTGTACCTCTTGTGTGTCCTATTGAACTGCATAAAAAACAGCAAATATACATTAAGTAGGCTAACTAAAGTAAACTAAGTTCATCGTAATTGCAATTGATAAGAATTTATAAATAAACTAGATATACAATCACTGATTATCACAATATTAATATTTACTCGACCTGAATTGTACAGGCAGCAATAACATTTATTTAAAATTAAAAAAATACAAAATAAATGTTTCTATTCACTGAGTTTCAATTATCTAGTATTAATTCACCAGTTTGGAAACTTTTATGCATGCAGTAACATGTTGTGCAAAAACTGTTTAGAGTCAGCTACTGATACAGTCGCAAAATTTTCATTATCTGCTAACTTAGCAAACATCTAAGATATTCATTGTAGTATATTTCAACTTTTGTAAGCCGTTCGCTTGTACCTAGAATAAACAAGGGGCGAGGGGGGTACCCTAACCTTTTCCCAATTTCATTTGAGGTCGACGCATGATATAATATTGTAAAAGTTTCCTCTAGTGCCCTGAACTCTCCTTGCAAATATAGACATTTTAGACGGGATATGGGCAGAAGGTAAATTAAGTTAGGATAAGGAATAGCACAAATCTCGGATAGAAAACTGCGGTTGCTTGCAGAGGTCGGGTTTGCTTACCCATAAATCCTGTAAAATCATGTTGAATTAACTATAGGTCGGGTCATCAACTGGCCTCAATACTGCAAACTGTATTTTTATATATTCTATACAAGCAAACACATGATCTAAAAATATAAAGCCACACGTGTCTTGGCATGAGATGAATGGAATTACAGGGTCGTGTGTGTTTGTGTTCTGAATAGCGAATAAAATTCTAGGTCACTTATCTTAGCATAAGATATGTAAAACCTTCTTAAAATTATCATTCTGTCAGTATAGAAACATATCGCATAAATATTTAAAGTTCGTTGATAATACACAGAGCACGAAACACAGCCACGAAAGTACAACAAATGACATTAGTTACTAGTTCTTTTTTTATATTTAATTTTGCTATACTTACTGTGTAAAGATGAACATACAATTTTTCCTACCTAACATCCTAGGCCCCCACCTCTAAGAGAATATATAATAACTTTATGACTCACTTAATGAATATAATAATAAATAGAATAACTTTATTTAATGTCCAGCGGTGGAATACTAAAGGCTGTTGATGATGCTAATGATGATGATGATGAATGTACACGTAAATGCATGTATCCCATACATTGGCCTCATGCATCAAATCTTAAAAAATAGTAAGACATTTTATACATGGATGACTCTGGTAGGTATTTTACAAATATTATTGAGACCGTTACACAGAATTGGAGTAACAAAACAATACTAAAGATCGCGCACAATGACCTCCAAAAATTATACATATATTTAGCAATATTTTCTACCATCACTTTAAACATTCTTGTCACGTCTTTGTTCCTAAGTTAAGTACTTCTTACCAGTACATACACATTCATACAGTACCTTATATCGTACATAAGCTGTACTTCGTTTTATTGAAAACACGGAAATGAACTAAACTAATAATGTCATCATGTTACTTCCGCTTCTTGGATCATAATCAGTCCTGTTGTTGTAACTCATAGTTCCTACGGACTTAAAGTTTGACCTTCCTTGTCGGCCTTAGCGTAATCAACGTAGGTACAATAGAAATAATTTATTTTATTTTAATAATAAATAGCTTATTATTTTAAAGAATATGCTTAAGTTTACATTTGTATACACCTGGTAAAACTAGTGCAAAAATGTAACTGAAAAAAATATATTTTGTAAGATTACTTTTGCTCATTTCTTATTTATAGTTTAACTCAAACATATTCAAACTCAAAACATCTCAAAACTTAAAATATCTTTATTTAAAAAAAATGTTTCAATCGTCTTTTATGTAGACTCTAAAGTCTCTCTAAACTTTATGTAAACTCTAAAGAACAACACACAATATTCTGTTGTCTCAAAAATATAGCAAAATAAATATAATATAAATCTGTTATATGCCTGTGTCGATCTCCAACCGCCCAAGGTGTTGAGCCTTGAGAAAAAAATACAAACAAACTCACGGCCTCTCATTTTAACTAAAAAATAGATATAATGGCATTATTAAATATAATACTACATTATTTTGATGTGTATATACTTAGTACATAAAAGAAAATATTCAATAAAGATACTTGCTGCGTATAAGAAAGACATCTCTAATATGTTCTTCTCGTAGCGCACTGGTGGAACTCGTTCAGAATTTAATTACCAAACAACACCTTCAATTCCGACTTCATGGTTAAAAAATTCAGTCATACGATAAAGCTGCACGTGTTTCAATGTTTTAAATCTTATATATATATTGGGTATATATGAATCTATATGTATGTTTGTTTATGTATGCCTATTTTATTTATTTATTTTTACACTACTGTAGCTTCAATACTGCCTATTTGTACATCCAGAGGTTGCCTGTGAGAGATGACTTTTAGCATTTTACATATCCGTCTGTAATATTCATCCATCGTGTTGAAATTGGTGTACATGAAGCAGTTTCTATTCTATTCAATAAATAAAAGGATAAACAAAAAAATGCTACATGAATTCCAAAATAACCGTTCTCTAAATCCATTGTCAGAAAATATAAATCGGTCGAATCGAATCAGTTGTCGATTGTTACCTGAATATTTAAAGTGTTCTTTATGTTAAATGTTAGACAATAATAATAATAAAACAAAGAGAAAACAGAAAATCAAAGTATTAAGAAACCCTAAATTTTCAGATTACTAACTGAAGATGGGGGACGCAATTTTCACCAACGGGACCGCGGAGAATGGATTTGCTGAAATGTTCAGCGACCACATAAAAGGAATCGGAAGAATGTTCTACATACATTCACCAAAAGACACCATGTATGAAAGGAAGGAGGACGTACCAAACTTTTTTAGACAAGTAAGTAAATGTAACACAATAAATAAGCGTAGTATGCGGACAAGAAAAGTGACCGATTAAATCTGCTAAGTTTATTGTGACTACATTCATTTGTTTAATGTACTAAAATATAGTAAATAATTTGATAAATGTATCTAATGATACATTACATCACAGTCTAAATTTGGGTAAAAACTTGTAAATACCAATACCTTTCTGTTCTCTCTTACTTGTCTTAGGAAACACAAAGATATGGTTTTTGAAGAACGAAAAGTTTGCATATAGATAACACGCGTTTTGAGGTTATCTTATATGATCTCCCAAAAAAGAATTGGTTTAAATACTTAACCTCTTACGGAAAGTGATAAGAAACAAATGGTCAACATACGATTTTATTTAAAACCAAGATAATATATATTCGATCGAAGGAATCGACTACCGAAACGTAAAAATAAGACCTTGAGTGTATAAGGGATTAGAGTTGTAATAAGCAGTAGTGGTTTTGAGTGACAATTCGGAATCTTTTAAACAATCGTAATATCGAAGTCGTTACGGCTTGCCCATTTCTTAAGGCTAGTGGTAGTGTATTACCATTCAATACCAAAGGTACAATAAAACTAAATTGATTGACCTATCAATTTGAAAAGTTGGTTACCAATTATGGGTGCTCCACAATGTACACATACAGATGATTATGAACGCATATTTAAATAACAATGAAGGTCATTGACCAGTTGGTCAATGTATGTACAGTATAATCAGTAACAGACCGGTAAAGCGTGATGGAAGCCATGTGATAAGTGTATGATATTTATTTCAGTCCTATATACTTAAAATTAGTCAAGTGTGTGATGTATCTATTCATGTACCGTACAAAAAAAACTTAGTTTTTTTTCTGGACCCGAAAATAATCTTAACTTGGCAGCCAAACCAATACTCTCCCTTACTCCGATGCCTGTCACAGTCGTAACTCTAGACCAATAGGGAATTCCTTTACATCTTGATTTGATAAGGTTTCTTTAAAAAGTGGGTAACAAATTATTAATATAAAAATTTAAAAAACACTGTCCTGCCCAAAAGCATACAGTCACCTTTTTCCAAAAATATATAGTCGGTCCTGGATTATGGTATTCTATAGACCTCTCATTCAAATGTGTATTTTGCATAAACAAACATGAACTCTGAACACAGTACAATTCATTTTCTGGCAATTGTGTAAAAATCTTCAAATCTTAGTGGACCATTTCCTTGATTGCTGAATGAACTGTGTTGACAACATATAACTGTATGTCTTTGCTAACGGAACAGTTGCGCAAATGCAGAATGCGCAAGTCAGGTTAGGTCAACATTAGGTTTTTCACTAAAATACTTTTTTTTTAAATGGATGTGGATGTATAAAATACAGTATATTTTAAACAAAGCTCAACTCTATAAAAAAGTCAGTCATATATCAATAAACACGCATGACGATTTCATTCTGTTTCTTCCAAACCATGATTGCTTTCACATGACCTTCTAAGACGTACAAGGTCATCTAAAATCAATCTCTATGTTCATTAAAATAAAGTTAATAAACCATTCGGTATGTGATTACAAAATATCCATAAAAAATTCATGTCGCAAGAAAATTCAAGGTTCCATGTGTTAATTTTGATGTAGATATTTTTTATCAATACTAAGCAACAATAATATGCACTTGACATGTTAACATTAATATAAAGCTGTTAAGTGCTTTCATTTATAAGGTCAACTAATGCGAGAGGAGTTCAGGGTTTTCTTGGGCAAGAATTCGTGTTAGACTAGTTTTAACTATACACTATACTTACCACTTATTTTATTGAAAGTCAATTTAAAGCTAAGGGTTTACGAAAATATATCTTTCTTTTGAAATTTAAAGCATAATCTAAACTTAATTTAAGTTATAATTTACCTTTCGATTACCTGACGTTTTGACCAGAGTGTTTTGACCAAAAATTCAGGCAATTTAATGATATGGAATACTAGATATAGAAAGTAAACGGCGAAAGATGAAAATGAAATGAAATGATGAAAATGATGAGTTAAAGTCGTTCTTCACTATTTCCTACATGATATGACGTACAGTACATTTATGTAAGTCAGAAATAACTAGATGAACCAGATAAAAAGGTAGTCAACTGAACAAAAGTTATGAAGTATGTATTTTTCGGGCAGAACAAAATTATTTCGCTAATTCAACAAAGAAATGAAGTTTAAAATATAATATACCTAAGATATTATGTAAAGCTAAATTGTCAATGGCCCCATATCTATTAAATTCTCTTTTATTGTATTCGAGTCTAAATAACATGTTAAAAAATAATGGTCTAGTATTGAATTGAAAAAAGAAAACTGCAATAAAATATATGTTGACATCGCAGTATAATCATTGTAAGAACATCATTGTTTGAAACAGAAAATAATGTTTACATTATCATACACTTTCATAAATCATTCTATCTCTATTACACATTTAAGATGTGAAAGGTCCTTCAAGATAATGTTCATATAAATGTAAATATTTATATACAACCTCCTCGCTCAGAATTTCTAAAATGGGATTGTATTGACAAAAAGAAAGTTTCTTTCAGGTAAATGTAGTGGAGAATTATTCTTTAGTATTCTAAACAAAATGTTAACTATCAGACCATTCATAAGCATTTAATAATACTATACAATAAATAATTGGGTATTCTCAAATTATATTGTACCGTTCAAATGTCAAAAAACAATTGTGAAAATTGTACGCGACAGGAATAAATGTATACTTTTAGGATTCTATTATAAATTATTTTTAGAACTGTAATTGTGACCTTTTGCAAGTTGCGTGTATAAAATTTAAGTAGCTTCCTATAATTTATTACGAGAAAGCTTTAGCAGTAATACGAGTATATCTTGTACTAAATATAAAATTTGAGTATAAACTTACTTTGGGTCGTTAGGGAAATGCCTATAAGTTTCATTTAAGCTTTAAAATAGTAAAATAGTGTAGCGGTACTTCAGTTTTTATTCTGAATAGTACCGTTGACCGAATCGGATTGTCAACTGTTAACAGAAGTTCTGATTTAAATTACAATTCATTGCCCCATTGTGCAGTTGCACAAAAACAAAACTACCATCAAGCGCCTTATTTTAAAACCTGTACGTCTATAATCAGCATTATAGAAGAGATGTTAAGAATTTTGCACACAAATCTTATATTGTTTTTCTATTTTTAATAATAAATTTAATAGCATACCAGTAAACCAAATTTCAGAGAACAATTATCATAAATTTGTATAATATTGAAATAACTCAAACTTTACGGCAATTAGCACAACTTTAAAACCAGATGAATTGCGCAGTTCCTTCCGCTAACGCTTTGATTGTCGGTAACCTTGCTGCCAGGAACTTAAAAGTCTCTATAGAATGTGATTATTTAAAAAAAGATTTTACAATAACAGTCTGAGTTACCTGTTGTTGCAAAAATAGTTTATGGTGATAGCTTTCTATTAGGCAGACAAAAAGATTATACAATAGAACGAATCAAGATTTTGGGATTGCGGTTACAAATAAAGTAATGAAGCATTATAACATTATTTATCAACAATAAATGTAGTAAGGGAGCCCTAACATGCATAGCTAAAAGTCTATTCATTGCATAGCTGTCAGTGTCATATGGAACTCATTTAGGTCAATAAATAGAAAAGCCTTCTCACTATACTCACCATACAAACTCTCTAGGACTTTAGCAAAACATATGTTGGCCATAGTCCATCAAATAACATGACTGTGAGAATAAGGATCACAAAATCGTCTTTTATATTTTTCGTTAAGTCATTTTATTATAAAATTCGTAATAAATCTTATATTCGATGCTCATGAGTACGTTAGTAGTGTGTTGTGTCAATAATTACGACATCGATATATGATCTATGCACATTTGCTGCTACAGCCTGTGATCGAAATATGTAAACTGATATGAAACTTACCACAGGAAACGTATACATGACTATAAAGGGTTACAGAATAGTTACGTCTGATTGAATGTGTGAGTGATTTATCAAAGCTTAACTATTGAATGAGCAGTCTGTTTTGAGAAAATTAAAGCCTATTTGGAATTCGAATTCCTTAAAAAGGAAGACTGCACGGATGGTGTAGTGGTTTAAGCGGTCGCCACGCCGCTTCCTATGGTGCCGAGTGTTGTGGGTTCAAACCTCACATGGGACGACACTTTGTGTGATCCATAAATTGCTGTTATGAGTCTGGGTGTACTTTGTGTCCATTTCATGTATGTTTGTAAAGTCCCCTGCGACACAGGATTTATTCCTAGTTCGGGAGTTGTCTTTTAAAAGAAAGAAAAAGAAGAATACGTTTCAATTAATCTCACTTAGTCCATCCGTAGAGACTAGCACAGTTTGTACCATAGGCTCTAGTCCTCCAAAAATAATTTATCTCAAATATCTTTTTCAGTCTGTAAATCACTCACCGGGGACATCGTCTTTAATATTTATTTTCTCTTATATTGGATTAGTGTACTTACAGAGGTATTTGAAAAGTTATGACATTTTGCCAAGGGCGTTAAAAGGCCACGAGAGAATAAAACATATTTTTGACCAAAAAATGGATATTATTGAACAAAAATAATGTACTAACTTCACACATCTCACACACAGCAGTCTGATTCCAAACTAGGGAGAGCCTTTACACTTTGGTAACCAGACCGCTGTTAAATATACTGATATATTTTTAAACACATACATACTATAGATAAATTACACAAAGACACAGAACAAATCATCGTGCTCATCACACAATTAATTGTCTTGGGTTGAAATCGAACCCACGACCACTGGCTTAGCAGTCAGGGTCACTAACCACTAGACCAACAAGTTATGTTATTCTCAATTTAAAACTATTAATAATTATCTCATTATACACAATAATTTTAATGTTGTTTTGTATTATTAACGGTAACTAACTTTATTTTTTTTGTTGCAGTCATGGCCGTATTTCATCCTCTTTATGATAATGGAGCACATAGTCCTAAGGCTGAAAGGAAAGCCAGGTATTAGGCTGAATGATGGCATAACTAGCATATCAAGTGGGATCTTACAGGAATGTGGAAGGTAAGTTTATATATATTGTGAAAATGAATTATTTTAGTGAAGCAAAATATCTTACCTGAGCGACAATTTTGACTTTGCAAATCTCGCATAGTACGCATAAATGTTTTGTAGTCGCAAGTTTGAAATTCAACGCCATATATAAGTATATTATATCTCAGTTTTTTTTTTTTTTTTTAAAACTTAATGATAAAGACCACTTATTGTTTCTTCTTATCTTTTTAACATATTCCAGAAATAGGATATACTCGTAAATAAAGAACACAAAGTTATCTACATATATGTGTAATGAAATTTTTAATTATATCAACCTATTATAAAAGCGAACGAATTTAAAAATAAATTTATTGAATACAAAGTCATAACGGTCATATGTAAACTAAACAGTTTGTTGTTTTATTGCTTACAAACAATTTGCCACATGATCTACTTTTTAGATTGTGACTATATTTTTATTTGAAGACGGGGTAAATTTTGTTGTTGTAATAAATTGCTGATATAAATAAACATGACCCATAAAAATAATGATAAATTTTTATATATATTTTAGTGTTTACGCGTAAACAAAATGAAGTTTAATAAATTAATATTTTCTAGGCTTGTTTGGCGTGGGGCGGAGTCTTATATATACACATGGATATACGTGAATTTTAGACTAGTGGATCTACCATGGGATCATACGTTAACGTGGTATGCTGCGGCGCTTGGTGTTGACTTCTGTTATTATTGGATGCACAGAGCCTGTCATGGTAAGAATGGAACTAATTATCGCACTATTATTGGTTTAGAAAAAGTATTTAGGTTGCACCCTGATTGGATTCCAAATTGCCTTATTGAACCTCTCAAAGTATAATCTGTTTTTATTTGTCATATGGAATACTGCCAAGAGTATAATCTAATTTTTTTTAAGGAGAATATGTATGAACACGATTGTGAAATCTGATCTGTGTGATCTACCAAAATGTTCTCATACAGTACACTACTAATATGGTCTTCTTCTAACACTGTTTAGCTGTAGGTGTTAATAGAAAGACTAGTGATGAGCCTATAATAATGAGTCCACATAAACTACAATTGACCTTACTAGAGTCCTTTCTAAAAATAATTTATAAATTTGAAAACACAGATATTACGTGTTTTTGTATTAAAATAAAATATGTTATTTTACCAATGGATTTTAATTTCCTTAATGATGTCCTAACCATAGTCGCGAGATACTAGTATAGGCAGTAATATAGACAGGTTACCTGCCTAGTTTAGGAAAGAGAGGCCTTTGACCTATTTTATATTTGTTGTTCTGGTTTTCCTTGTAATATTTAAGTATACCTATAAGACAACTCTGTCCAAACTACTTAAATTTATGGTTATATTATAGTATCGAATTAATTTATATAATTGCCTGAGACTTTACCAAGTACAAGTTATGCAATATTTTTATTCCATTTTCTTTTAATTCATTTTTAAGTAGTTGTAATGGGTGGACGCCAGTCATAAGGGGGTTCACGATTTTATTTCTCAGCAGGTTTTACAGTGATTTATTTTCAAGGCGAAATCTGAGAGTCTAACAATAAGACGCTAGGATGTAATATCGTCTAGATTTAGTTAGTTCAACTGCTACTACAATCTTACTTACTATAAGTAAAAATGTTAAACAGACGCTAAGGCGGTCTTAATAATCTATCAATAATATCTTTTGACAGAGGTTCACATATTATGGGCACAGCATCAAGTTCATCACACGTCAGAAGATTTTAATATGGGTGTTGGCATACGGCAGTCTATGTTGCAAGGATGGTGTGGATTTGTAAGTATTTATATCTTTAGTGCCAGCTTGATAGTCACAAGCTTATGCAATGTGTAAACGGAAGTCGTGTTCATATTTTAAGGTTATATATTGTGCAGTTCACCACTGTCTTATAAGTACACATAACTTAATGTCGATGTGACTGGACGTTTTGGTATTCAGCGCATGATCTTGAATACATTAGGGCTTGCGGAAAACAGGGTTTACGACTCTTAAATAGAAATTCCTGTGTTGTAGTAGGGAAAACGCTTTTATTACTCTACAGATGTTCATATTTGTTTGCTGTCTATACTCAAAGTCTTGTAATATTCTTTTTACAGATTTCTGATATTTGTTACTTTTACAGATTTTCTACTTACCTCTGGCGCTGGTTATACCACCAGCACAATTCGTGATGCACCATCAATTCAGCTACCTTTACATGTTCTGGATTCACACCGAAGCAGTCAAAAGCTTGGGACCTCTCGAGTACATACTTAACACACCTAGTCATCACAGAGTGCATCATGGTAAGATAATTTTTTTTACACAAACCATGTGAAACGTGGTTGAAGTGTGGAGTGTTAGTTTAGTATTGAGTGTGAATTTATTTACAATAATGTACTAACATCTTCTACAATAATCATGCTTTCTTTTGGGCATTACCTTTCTTTATTCCAATTACATATTATTTATTACTTTGATTGAATTTTCATTGATACTGCTAATCAAGTGACTACGATAAAATATTTTTTCTAGAGGTTTATTAGTCTATTATTTTTCTGTTATAGTTATTCATGTTAATAAATACTTACATTCATTTTATTTTGTCAGCCACACACGCAAGAAAACATCAATACCAATCTAATGTTACTGGTTAAAGGTGGTTTTATATAGAGAGCTACTAAAACAAAACTCTAGCAACTGAATTTAATTCATATTTCTAACTCACTTTCTTGTTTTCAGGTAGCAACAAATACTGCTTAGATGTAAACTATGGTGGAGTTTTAATTATTTGGGACCGAATCTTTGGTACCTTCAGACCAGAAACAGATAAGTTTGAAATCGTTTACGGACTCATCTACAACCAGCCGTCTTTTAATCCTGTTTACTTGCAGGTAAGGAATTACATATCAACTAGCAGATATCAATATATCTAGACATAAAACTTATTTATCGGTCATTGTCACTATTGACTAAGTAATAGGTACCTGTCACGATCATCATTCATATAAAATTACTTGTCCTGATTGACTAATTTATCAACGCAGAGCCTAAACCTCTGGCGCTACAACTTGGTTCCAAATTTGGGCTTTTATGTTGTAAGCACCCATTAAGAAAAGGTATTTTGGACATTTCACCCCTAAGAGGGTAAAATAAGGGGTAAATGCTTGCATAAGAGTTCGTCAATTTAAAAGTTAGAAATATGAAATATGAATGAGGCGAGGCACGGGCAAGTGACTACTCGGATTAACAAGTACTAAAGTATGGTTCAACCACTTCGTAAAGTGTGTTTGGAACTCATTTTGTTTTCTTCCGTAAATGTACAAATACCTTAAGTACTATAAAATTTATATGTTGAAAAGTCATGCGGTTTTATCATTTCCTGAGAGGCATTGTGTGGCAATAATAAATTAGCTATTTATTGTAGCTTCACTGGCTTTAGAGTAGATTTTATTTATTAATCTTTATTAAATTATGGTTACTTTATTACTGGATGTTACGTTGAGTACGTTGTTATCATCTTCCTTATCCCTAAAATGTGTTTACAAATACATACATGATGATCGATTGTTTGACTCGGACGTGCAATTGAGGTGGGAAGAAGAAATAGGATGATGAAGGTCATATATAAAATTGTAGTAAAGGCTAACATTTGACTTGATTGCTTGCAACTTTTATTATGCTTAGTAATTCTCATTGTATTTATTACTATGACGTAAATCAAGAATAACATTTTACCTTGAGGACCTTCGTAGCAATACATCATTTTGCTCATGTCTGTCGTTTGATATTAATAATTTAATTTTTACTTTGTAACCTTTAAAGATTAATTACAGTATCATTTATAACACAGATCTAATATATATAATATATATATATATATATATATATATATATATATATACCTTATTAAGCGTACTTTTGAAAAGTTATTGATATTTAACCTAATCTAAAGTCGAAAAAGCTGACAAATTATTGCCAAAAAAATCATTCCGAAAAAATTACAATTATTACATTAAAAAAACTCCGAAACTACCCATATTTCGCGTTTTCTTGTATAAATCTTAAAAAATATTTTTTTTTTTTTACAGACGTTTTACAGTAAATATGTAGTTGAAAAAGTCAGAAAAATGGACACATTTGGTAACAAGGTTCGAGCCGTGTTGTGGGGACCAAGTTGGGAACCAGGTACTCCACGATTGGGCGATGAGGACGAAAAGATTGATGTAAGTATAACTCTTCAACTAGATTTTAGCAGGAAACAAAGGCTGCGTTGCCTCAGACAATATCTGTTTCATTAATAAATATGTATTTTTAAAATATTTTGGAACCAATTTAAGTACTTAGACTAATTTGCCAGAATTTCAGAGTTAGATTTATTAAGCTTCGATAACATTTATGTGATAAGGACCTCAATAATTTATTACCTTTTGTGCCAAATGTGGTAAGACTAACTTTCATACGGATTTCAGAATAAACTTAAATTAAAGAAATAGGTCTAGAAACTTTAATTTTCACAAATATTTAGTTTGTAAGTGTTAGTTCACCGTCAACCTACAACGATTCGTAGAACTATAATATAATATGCACGAGGGCCATCGCATACACATGCTTTTATCTTTTCCATTGTCAGTGCACTTGGGGAACATCGTGATAGGTTATTATAAGATAATATTTGCATATCTTACGATAATATCGAAATTGCACCGTACGTAGTAGTACGTAGAATCGCTGCATTGAATAACTAAAACAAACACGTACAACTTTGAAGCTTCGTTGAGTTTGCCTTGTACCCGCCTACTACATAACGTTAGTCAACAAATGTAGGATTTGGCAAACAGTGCTTACTTATTCTAAATTTACCGTACTACTATATAGCAGACATAAATCTTTATGAACATTAAATGAAAATACATTGATTTATAATTAAATTATAAAATTATATTAAGAAATGTTTTTAAGTTTCTTACATAAATAATTACAGATCCACGGGTCTTAAGCCATTGGATTAATGAGACACACTTTGTGTATTACATTTCAATTAAATTGATTTTAATTCAAAAATAAACAAGTAATATTCTTTATTAGAAGATATTTGCCCTGTCTGATTGATGGGATCACGTAAAACATTATTGATCGTATTTATTATTCAACACAGGAATGTGTTGTACGAGATGAAACATATAATTATCAATGGGAGTGAATGGCAGAGTTTTGATTACTTGATAATTATAATAGTATTAAAGGACATATTACTCAGCGCTATCCAAACCTTAACCATTCTAAAACATGGATAAACAACCGTAGACATACATACTCGTATAATATATGCAGATTATAAAACACAATGTTAAAAGAAAAACAATGTAACCATGTATATGTATACGGATACATATACATGGATACATTGTTTTGTATACATGTATTAATAACGACTTAGTAGCATTCGAAAGGCATATTCTGCCTCACGAAGTTTAGCAAAACTTTATACATTTGTTATATAATATATTAGTGCCATTTTGTTTTCCTTACGTTTTAAATTGTTTGCTTTTGATATGGATGCAGATATTTCATGTTTTTTTTTTTCAACAGGTGGAAAATAGAGATAAGTACGACGTCCAACTGCCAATCTGGTGCAATATTTACCTTGTGGCACATCATGCAGTAGTCCTGTATGGTTTCTTTGAATTAGCTTCTAAGTATATGGTGAGTGGTTTTTAAATATTCTATTTTACTTTTGTTGCCAATATCATACTTATATACTAAAGGAGGAACATGGTTTTTATTAAATTTAGTATTAAATTTAAAAAGAATATATCTGTCACTACAAAACAATAGTGGTACAACAACACATAATCTATCGATGTAGGATTTAAAATTTTGCAATTTGGTACCTATGTTAAAATATTGGACAGATTATTTCTTTTGTTTATGATTTACCATCACTACCTTGTTTTATAGCTAAAACATTTTTATTTATCTATCTACCCGCCAGTCAGCATAAAGAATATTGTCACAAAACTAGACACTTCTGTTCAACCTTTATTAATATCAGGCAGGTACTAAAACTCATTTTTATCTTCCTAAATTGGTAAACAAGCATTCATAGTTGGTGTTGCTAATAAATACCCACAAAAAGTAGTGGTGTTCTACGAACTAACACTAACTACATATAGTAATAGGCAACACCTCACACACGACCGTCTAGTCCCAAAAATAGATAGAGCACGTACTACAGCAAAGCTACTGGCAGAGATACTGACATTACATATTTGTACAAATGATAGTTCTCATCACATAATAATTTGTCCCACATAGAAATCAAATCATCGTCCTCTGGCTCGGCAATCAGAATCACTAATCACTAGATCAATAGATTTTCATTGCAATACCCACTTTCAGAAATACAACATTACGTACAAGTGTGGTTCACGAAGTTCGTCTTTAATATACTCTGGTTTGAATAAACGACTATCCGTGGCCTATGACCTCTGACCCACAACGTTAACTGCTTTACCCTTTACTACGTCATCGCAAAATTCGAGCATCTATAGATAGACATTTGCATCTAGTAATTGTTATAACTTTGTAATTTTGTAGTCTTGCAGGAACGTTATAACTGTAAACATAAGGATCTTAATAACTTTCAGACAATTGAAACAAAAAACTGCATAATATATAATAATATTATTCACACATGACATCTTTTTAAATCGTAAACTTCAGTAAAATATAAAGGTACAGATATAAATAAAGAATATGAGTAATGTGCTCTATATACATATTTTTAATACGAGTACACTGAACGATGTCCAAATTAATGCTATTTATGTTACAATTATTATTTTATACCGGTTACCACTTTACCACTAGTTACTATGTGTTGTTCACTAACAAAAATTTACTCAATGATAGCAGTTATACCTAATAACATACAGATGCACAGATATATACATGTTAAACTCTAAAACATAATTCTCTGGATCTAAAAATATAAACAGATTTTTCACCTCTGCTAATATAATATATGTATTTAATAATCTAAAAATGATGGATAGATATTTTAACCTGTATGTTTTTGTATTACGTTAAAGTTTATTCTAATTGCTAGAGGCAAGCAAGGCTTTTCCACTCCACACAACAAACACATTAGATTTTGCCACCTCAGGTCACTTTCACGGCTAAAATTCCACATCAAGCGAGAAATAATATTGTGTGGGTTTTAAATAAATAAACAATGATACACAAACATTGACTGTTAAAGGTTCATTATATCAAATCTTCGATCTTAGGTACGCATAGTGCACAACAAGAAAGGGTATCAAATGAGATTAGTAAGTTAACATAGCGAGATTAGACTTAGAGACGGAAAAAGCTTTACTCAACAGTATCTTTATACCCTCAAAAGGTCGGGTAGAGGTACTTTGCGCACTTATGTTTTAATACCCTTATTTTATTGCATATTGCCGCTCATGTTGCCGAACACTGTTATAATACCAAAAAAAATCTAAAAGAAAATTCAATGTTAATTTTTCTGCCGCGAGAAACAAACGGCTTATGGCATATTTAAACTCCAAGGAAATTAAATTATAACATTTTGATTCATTCGTTTTATTTTATTGTTTCAGGGAATGACTCCAATCTCAGTTCTCATCTTTGTTTTCTACATCATCGCTTCCTTGTCCGTCATCGGAATGCTCTTTGACAACTCCAAGAACGCAGCTGTTCTCGAAGTAATAAGATGTTCAGCGTTGGCGTTCCTCACACGAAGTGTGGCCGTCACCAGCCCCGGATTAGCTACTGCACTTCAGATATTTTACGTCACATCTGCCATGTTCTGGTGCCTAAATATTCTTAAATTTTTAGAAATCAAAATAACAAAGAAATTGGATTAAGTAATTTAAGACTTTTTACGACTGAACATAACAGTTTAAATTTATATGTGCACGTAATTATTTATAAAAAACATTGTCTTCAACACTCTTATACATTTATTATAAATAAGTTTCATTGCACCGTAGACGGTAAAAATTTAAATATCCATTGGAACAAGTAGGCGACTACTAAAATATTAAATGATGACAATGCCATAGTTATAGTCATCCATCCATCTTACTAGATCAAAGTAATTTTGTTACTTCATTTTGTTTTTGCTTTTAAAATATTTCGGAATTTAAATACAATGACTAAAGTCGGACTGAACTTGTGTTTTTCGCTACAAAATGTGTAAAGTTAAACTATATTTTTATACTATATTAAAATAAAATGAATAAGATTCACTTGAATCAGTAAATGTTTTTGATTTTAATTTAAAATTGTTTTTAATTTTGGTATATTAACTTTACTTTCATAAATTTGCTTAAACATTTTAGTTTACATTTACTACATTATGTATCAATTTAAATAAGTATTTTTGTTTTGGAATGAACTGCAGATCATAAACAAATATAACGAATTAATAAATTTTGCTCTTGATGTTGTGTAATATGTAATAGATATTTTTATATAGGTTTATATGTATACTATAGTCTTTTCTGTTTGCTTACTGTGTGCTTAAAAGTCATTGAGAGATCTCTGCTATTGAATAAGTTTGAAATAAAAATCAAATTTACAATATATCTTTATGTAAATCGAGTTTCTAGTAACAAAATCTTTGTATTCGATTTTTTTATTCTTTCTACTATAGTAATTGCTGATTTGCCTACAATAACTTTAATTTAACATTATTGTCTACTTTAGTCATAAATGCGTTGTTAATATAAATAAAAATGAGGATGTTGTTGATATTAAAAGGACACCAAATAAATAGACATTTAATTAGTAATATTGAATTATTTTTATACTTAGAATTAGTTAAAGTTACAGAGAATAGCAAATTCTTATAAATAATTAGTTTATGTATTAATAATTCCAAGTTGCCTTAGCATTTTAATAGTTGTATATTATTGATACGTTTAAGACGATTGATAATTTATTTGTTACTATTTTATAAATTAAAAGATTTTATATTTATGTGTTTTTATATTAATTTAAACTACCATGGTTATTTTCTCTTGATGAGTTATTAAAAACGCGATATTTCCCATATGTATTTTAACGAATTAGTTACCCATATTTCAAGCGCCATGATCGCAGATGAACTGTTCGATGATATCTTTGTTTTTCAAAATTTTATTCACTATAAAAAAATCATCATTATTTCATTAGTTACTGGGTATACTTTTTTTAACTTTAAATACAATATGCCCCATTCAAAAATGCTTCACTAATTTACCTACGTTTCCCTATTGTCAACATGTACAGAGTATAACATTTCAAATCATTAGAGACGACGTTTTTGCTTCTCCATCATCCGTATCCAAAAAATAAGGTATATATTTGTTATTCCTATGTAAGGATCAAATATCTACATGCATTTACACATCTCGTTTCTTCAAAAGGCGTGTTAAACACGATTTGTTAATTTTGAAGTGGTTTCCCTGACAAAATAAAGGCGCCAGCCTGTTGTCACCAACCAGGAACTTTCGGTGATATTGATGTAAAAATTAGAAGAACATTGAAGGGAAAAATTTGGCAAAAAGGAATAATGATAAAAACGGCTCTCTTACCCCAAACTAGGCAGAGCACGTACTATGATAACCACTGATGATAAACATATTTATAAGTTTCTAAATATAAATGTACATTTTGTTGATAAATACACCCAGATACAGAACCAATAAGCGTGCTCATCACATAATTGTATGTCCGTTGCGGGAATCGAATCAAAAAAAGAGAATCGAAAATTAATCAAGGAAAGAAGAGATAAAGAAAAACTAAATTCAATTAAAGCTTGGCAAGGAGAGTAGACATCTACCAATTGGCAAACCATGTATTGACTATCAATACATTCCACACTTAGGTGAAACAATAGACACTTCTTTATATTAAATACTTCAAAATTCACTCAATGAAACCGCACCGATATACTCTGCCTGATAATATATGTATACTTGTGTGCTTATTACATAAAACCTTATGAGTAGAAGAACTCAAAGTGTACTTATATTTCTACTGAAGCTAACCGTAGACGTGAATTGTGATACCTAAGTGGTAGTAAATAATATTTAGGACAGTAATATCATATTTATAAACGTTTAGTTCATAGCTTTTTTTCTTCTTTTCATTGTACATATGCACCTACTATGTCCCTTACGGAGCCATATAAAGGTTGACTGGGAGATAATGTTATGTGCCAAGTGGAAGGAATGGAAAGGAAGTATAAAAATAAAAAAACAGACTTTTACAACACACAGTGTATTACTTACAAAACCAACACACATGGGAGGAAACACAGTAAAAGAGGACTCAACGGATGGCACATCCTGTAAATCTTCAGTTGCAGGCGTCCATAGGGGCCGGTGTGAACTTACTATCAGGCCATCCGTCTACTCGTTTGACCCCCTACACCATGAAAAAACATCTATTCAGATCTTACTCTTTTAATAACTTATTGTAGAAAAGAAAATACGTTAATAGTTACGGCTACTACTTCAGACGTTAATTTACATTTAGTAAAAGTTACACCAATAACTTATACTAAGTGAAACTAATAGTTTTTAATGCCGATGGTACCTTACGTTAAATACTCAAATATCTATGTAGTAAAGGGTTACCAGGAATTCATTGTTATTTTGTATTTTATATTATGTCGATTCTAACAATTAAAAAAAAAAGTAGATATTTATATAATTTGAATTCAAACAAGATGTTAGGCAATTCATTCGTTGCTTTTCACTAAAGGGTCGAGGTATCCGGACGCCTTATCCTCCACCCCCTCCGTAACTCTGGGTGGGAGATAGGTACTCAAAGGGCGGTGTGCACACTTTTCACTAGGTGAATCGTATAGTCATTTGCCCACTATAAGGCTTCAATCAAAACCATGTAATATATACACTTATTAATCATTTTAAATATATCACTTATTTTTGTTTAAGTAGCTCAAGTAAACCTGTGTTACAATATCGCTTAAAACAAGAATATGTATTTCTTAAATATACTGAATACGTTTTTACTTAATTATAATTGTCATTAAAAATATTTTGTATTAATTCAACCTGAACAACTTGAATAACATTGTTGACAATAGAAGCTTGAAACACCGGGATGTGTCAAAGCCTCTCGTACAATAATGAACAGTCGGTATACCAAAACTATTATTATTTACTTGGTTTGAACACACACTACACTTAATTGTATTTACTTTTCATAAGGCTCCCACTGTTCACTGTTTACTCTAGAGTAGGGAAATATGTATTTATTTATCGTTGACTGTTGGTTTTCGTGAAATTGAACTTGAAATATATTTAGGCCTCCAATATGTTTTTGGTGGTATTTTAAATTAGTATTTATGATGTTTATAGAGGTTGATATTTATGACTAAGTGAAGGCCTCTGGATATAAGTTCTTTTATGCCACCAAAGATAAAAATAACCAAAAAATATGTTGCGCGTATATCGTAGTACTCATTTATTAGAGAAAATTCGTACAATGCCTGAGTGTTCCGAAAATAAAAAGAAGTAAAAAATAAAAAAGAAGAAGTATCATACCACAGGTAAGTGTATGTTTTGATCTAAAATGCATTTATCAATGTATGTACGGTTTTGGAACAAATATTTTATGCGTGCAGTGTAATCATAGCCTATGTTCCTTAAAATATCATTGATAAGAAGATATGAAAAGGTAGGATCATCATCAATGGTAGGAAAATGATAATTTCTTATACAGTCAAGTTATGTGGTTCCCAAGATAAACAAGTTTGTGTCTGTATGCCTATGTCTTCAGCACTGTGCCATTAAAATAAAGGGGAGGCATGTTAACAGATGTATTGCGTGTTTTAAAGATTAGCGGCTCAGTCTTTTTGTCATTAAATAAGAGTCCATGTTCTCCAGCAAATTCCTTACATGTTTGTAACAGTCTTCTCATGCCTTTGATTGTTGGACAAAAGAGGATCATAACAACAGCTTAGCTAATGTTATTAATGCATACTTCACCTATATGACAACTAGATCATTAATATAAAAGTTAAATAATACAGCCCAAGTTGTTATTAGTTAATAATAGTAAGCAATTGTTTTATCTATGCCTTAGGTTTGTGGCACGTTTAGCAAACAAGTAGGTAGGTATTAAAATTTGTTTTCATAAATATATTTATATATACAAGTACTATATATATTTTGCATTGATTCTGTATATATATATATATTTGTTATTATCAGAGCGTTCAAATCAGAGAGGCAGAGAATGCCTAAGGCATTAAGTCCGCCGATGCATATATTGTGCATACAGTTATTCAGATAAAATAAAATAAATAAAGGACAGATACTATGTTTTTATGGAATTGGGTCAAATGACAGACGGGTCACTTGATAACAAGTGACAACCGTCGCCCATGCACACCCGCAACTCAAGAGACACAGGTGTGTTGCTGCATTTGAATGCCCAGGAGAGTCTCTTCGGCAAACAAAGTTAGACACTTGGTGAAGAGTAATAAACTCACTCCAATCAGTCACTCCAATCGAGCCGGCCCTTATGAGTCAATGCATGGCTCTCCCATGTAGTCGTAGTCCCATGTCCTCCCATGTAGTAGGTAAATAAATAATATATAAAGACAGTCGTCATACCTAGAACGGTTTATCGTTCTTAAAAACAACTCTTCAGATAATTGGAATATGTAGTTTATACGCGTAAATATGTCAATCTACTTTAAAAAAAAAAACTTTCGTTGTTACTGAGAGTTTAAACTCCCGAGACTGTCTCGTAACGTTGTTCTACGAGCATTACCAATTTTCACTGCCTTTAAGGCTTTAGGATAAAACAGTAGGCAATTTAAAAAAATTAAGATGGCTTCGTATTT